GTAGGACTATTTCCGAGAGAAAGAGTGATATCGAATTTGTACTCGTGAAAATTATATTTTTCTCCGAAACAAATAAAAACGTATTTTCATTGAAGGATTTTTTAGTCCACGAATTGGGAAGGAATAAACCAGGAGAGGAACGAATCCAGGATAAGCATGAAGAGCAAGTGCCACAGAGGGAAATAATTCAACGGTAGGATATGTTACAATGGTAGACTAATTTACTACAACAGGAAAAAGAGGATGACGGGCGAAAGACACAGAGCCGCAGGCTATGGTGAGGCCAGGGCAAGAAGGGAGAAGAAAATGAAGCTTCAAATGGGATGATGACATCATCGCCCTCGAGGTCTGCCTTTTATCCTACCCTCTCAGCGTGTAATTTTTTGTATTTCCTTCCTTATTGTACAGCATCGTCTGACCTGTCTTGCAGGATGAATTTGGAATTTTCAATTCACCAATCAATTTATGTGTTCCACCTCTCAAGGGATGAATAAAAGTAAAGAGAGGGAAAAGAAAAAGTACCTGCGAAATTAATTAGTGTCTTGCACAAGAAAGAGAAAAACCTGATAAGTCTCTTTCTCATAGTGGTTTAGGTGATAAAATTAAGATTCGTACTCGGACTCACCAGAAAATTTAGAAACCGATGATAATTGGTAGTAATCAGTCGCCTGGACTGTCAACGTCAATTAAAACGAGAAAACAGCTAGGTTGCAATGCCTAGGTCCGATCCAATATGTAGCATCAAAATACAATTAATTAGATTCATTGAGCCTGAATTCCGAATTGATTGTGGAACTCTACCACTGTTCTCAGGCAACCGATATCTACCAGGCTATGGCCCTTTTCAAGGGGAGAACATGGATTGGAAGGAGAAGTGAGGAGGAGATGGGCCTACTTGACCTCAAGTTCCACCCCCTCGCCCTCGCCCTCGGCCCGAGAGCTGGCTAGTCTGAGGGGCGGGGAGACACTCTCCGACATCTATTAAACGCTTTGGCCCTAGCTCTTTTTTCAGGGAGGGTACTGCGCCGCTTTAAACCTTGAGTCTTTCAGAGCGAAGGACGTCAAAAGGAATGACGTCAAGTGAAAAAACTAAGGAACTCCAGCGTATTTTCCCTGGCTGGATCCCTCCACGTGATTGGCTCTCTCAAAATAAGCTTTTTCCTGCTCTATGCTCATGACGAAGTGAAATGCAGAAATGGTATCGGATGGCGTGTCCTGTCAAGATTAATATCCTTAATGAAAACCGAAATGTGCTCGAAATTGGGGCGAAAAACGCTACTCCGCGTGATTTTTTCTGTTTTTCTCGACTTCAAGGCAAAAATCTGGAAATGTCCTCCGATAGATAGATAGGGAAGAGTCTCTAGATTGCAGGGACGCCAGAATCGTGTTTATATCTGCGAGGGTTCCTTCGGAAAGTTTATTCAAAGTTGTGCATTTCTTAAAGAAAAATCTCCCCCCCCCCTGGCCCTTGACAATGCCTTCACCAGAATGTGTCGCCGAACACATGTGGGTGAAAAATCACGCCAGATTTATTGATAGATCGACAGATATGAATATTCGGAAGGAGTCCGTGCAAATATCACCATGATGTCTATCCGGACTCCCGCGGAATAAATTACGTTTCTGACAGGGATGAAAATCGCCCCCCCCCCCCCCCCATCGTCTCAGCCAACGTTTACGCGCTTGCCACAGAATGCGAGCCCTGGCTCCTCAAAAGCAAAAATCACAAAATCTTCTCTGATAGACTCTTTGGATGACAATGAGACTCCGCTCGTCGCTTTGCTGCAGGGGGTTCGCTCAGAAAGCTTATTCAAACCAAAATGATACTTCGCCCCCATTCAACAATGGTGTCGAAAACTTCCGAAGTCGCTTTTTCAGACGTAACATGTTAAATTTTCTCTGATGGATCGATATACGAGGTGTGGCTATTATGTTTCCAGACTGGTTTTATTGCTGAACTTTGAGAGAGAGGAGGGGAGTGGGGCTATGGCAGTAACATGGAGGGGAGTCTTAGCTTATAGCTGGGCAAGTTTCAGTGTGGTCTGACCAGCGCTCTGCGAGCTGCGGCCAGTTAAGATAGACCGTATTTGTTTGCGCTGGCGGATTTGAAATGGAGCATAATCTCGAGCAGAGAACTAACGTCAAATTTTGTGTTAAACTGGGAAAATCCGCAACTGAAACGCTCGAAATGTTAAGAAAAGTTTATGGTGATCATACTATGTCAAGAGCGCAAGTTTTTTT